CCTGGCTCCGACACTCTTGGCCTTTCGGCGCCAGGCAAAGACCTTTCTGTTCACCCAGCATTTCAATTAATTAATTTTAATGTTTTAAGAAATATTTTAATATATGCTATTTTATACTGTCTCTTAAAATGTTTTTAATGTTTTTAAGTTTTAATGTTGTACGCCGCCCAGAAGCCACTGGCAATGGTGCGGCTAAAAAATATTGTAAATAAATAAATAAATCTCAGAGAACAGACATGGCTGACAAACCAGCTTTGATTTGTAAAGCCATTCCTGGCCGTCATTGAAACTAGAGCATCCAAGTTTAGGGTTTAATCAACTCAAGGCAAATGTAACCCTGAGTGTAACCCACACCGAGTACAACTGGATCTCTGTCCCCTTATTTGCCTTGTGATTGATCGGGATTAATGATCAGGATTAATTCTCTGGATTAACTTTCAGTTTGTTAGCCCTCATTGAGACCATTTCTGAGAACCGTTGCTAGTCTAGGTATAGAACAGCTTCCTTGGAATCAAATGAGAAGGAGAGACAGACAACTTCTCCCAGCAGTTTCATGCAGATGTTGAATAACATGGGGGGCAGAGTTGACCCTGGGGGAATACCACAGGTCAATGGTAAGGGTATCGAACAGGATTCCAATGCCCCTTCTGAGCTTGGCCATTCAGGAAGGATTGGAACCACTGTAAGACAGTATTTCCAAAACGCATTCCAGAAGGATGCCCCAGAAAGATACTTGCTGAGAGGTCTCGCAGAACCAACAGAGAGAGACACTTCCCCTGTCCAGATCCTGACATAGGTTGTCAATCAAGATGATCAAAGCTGTCTCTGTTTGTAACTAAGACTGAAGCCGGATTGAAATGGATCTAGATCATCCACATCCTACAATATCCTCTGGAGCTGGGATTGCTGCCACATGCTCCCGAAACTTGCTGAAAAATGGAATATTGGAGACTGGCTGGTAATTATTCAAGGAGGACTCTTTAAACAAAGCTCTTACCGATGCCTCCTTTTGGGATGCTGGTATCCTGCCTTGCTGCAAGGAGGCATTTACCACTCCCCTAACTCACTCAGCCAGTTGCCCTCTGGTTGCTTTTATAAGCCAGGGAGGGCAAGGTTCCAGCACACATGTGGCGGCTTCCATCTCTCCAAATATCCTGTCTACGTCCAACTGGTGTCAGGCTGCACCAACTGAAATTTAGCCATTATAACAGGACAGGTAGGGGACAAAGTTATATCAACAGGATCTGTGCAGACTACAGCATCTAAGTCAGAGCGAATCTGAGTGTCTTTGTAAAGTCATTGTCGTGCTCTTGTGGACATCTGTGCAACAGGCCTTAACCATCTACCTGAAAGAGTTCCGCTAGATGGCTCTGTGCACATGCAGTGGTGGTAAAGAAGAATAGCTTCCTCACTGCCACAAACTAGACTGTCCAAGGAACTCTAACCAAACAGCCACTAAACAGGATGAAGGCCCAGCACAGGAGGGGCAATGGCTCAGGACCACAATTAGCAGTGTTTCTTCATTTGAAGGGCAAAGGACACTCATTTGATGGCCAAGATGTACTCATTTTGGACTGAGAAGATAGGTGGTTTGAAAACAGGGGTCAGGGAGAGTCTGTGCATGTGCATATAGAATATCCCTCACTCAACAGGGGTGAAGACCTTTGATACAACCTGTTTATTTATCATGGTGTCCTTTCATCTGTCTCTAGAAAAATCAGAACCACACACACCAGAAAGACCACTGTTAACAACTGTTAACGACCCATGAGAACTGGGTGGAGAAGGACCGCAGAAATGGGATTTTCACTCACCCCCAGTTCTTTGTCCATCTAATGAGCCTCTTCAGACCAGGGAGAAGTGAAACCAATGGAGGATATATCAGGGGGTCTCCTACCAACTCTTGCCAGGCTGAAGAAGCTACTTGGATGAGTAGCAAAGCGTTTCAATCTAATAAGAAAGAAGTCCTTTTGCCATCAGTCATGTTCATCCAGGATCAAATCCTTACTGTTAGTGGTCTTACCTTTCACTGGCCTGGCATATGGCAATAAATGATATAGCAGTAAATTTGAAAGCGCAGATATTCCTTATGTCAGTTTCCCAACCTTGGGTTCCCAGATGTCTTTGGATTAAAACTCCGAGAAGCCTTCACCGCTAACTGTGCTGGCCAGGATTTCTGAGAGTTGTTGTCCAAGAACACCTGGAGATTCAAGGTTGGGAAGCACTGCCAAAGGGTGACATTCCCCAATCCCCATTTCAACAAGAAGAAACTGTAGATGTGGCAACATCATACAGTCAAATCAGAAGGACACGTTTTCCTCTGCAGAACTTAACACTCTAAATTGTAACTGTTTTCTAGGTCCAGTACTTGTTTAGAATATTCTGTCGCCTTCGGCCTGGCCTTCCCATACTGGCTCTTCATGGCAAACAGCAGCAGATGAAAAGAATGGAAGTCTACCATGATTTTGTGCACAAGAAATCAGCTGTTCTCTTTGCTACTGATCTAGCAGCTCGGGGTCTGGGTAAGCAGTCTTAAATTGCTCTGTGTTCATATAAAGCAGGAAGGGAAACCTCAACTTGGTGGATATTTTTGACTACTCCCTGAAATTCTTGCCAAGATGGCCAGTGGCAAGGAATTATGCAAGTTATAGTCCAGGGCAAAAGGGTTTCCCAATATGATATAATGTTTAAATTTACATGCTTAGCCTTTCTCAGACTTGGGTCCCTAGATATTATGAGACTAATGTTCTTACCATTCTTAACCAGCATGGCCCATAGTTGGGGATCGTCAGAGCTATAATTCATTGTCAAAGTTGAGAATGGCTGGGTTATGGTAAGCTTTTCTTCCCTGCTCAAGTTGTTTACATTCCGTGTTTCCTTAAAGCTGTTGACTTATATGTAAATGCACCTTTTACAACTTTTCCATGTTGTCTATGGGAAAAGAAAGGGGGAAAAAAGAAGAAAATGATAAGGGAGGTTTTTCAAAATTGTTAATCTTAAGTGTAGTAGACTGTATGCTTAAGGTCAGTTGTGCGAATGCAAGAATGCTATGGAAATAAATGTGGCCTGTGATAAAGAGAAATGATAATCAGATGCCATTAAGTCTGAATTATGGTGATCCTATTCAAGGTTTTCTAGGAAGAGAATAGGCAAAAGTGGCTTACCTTTCCCTTCTTCTGGGGGCATCCTGAGACTGTTTATCTTGCTCTAGTTTCAGGAGGCACAGCGGGGAATCAAACTCTCAACCTCTGGCTCCACAGCCAGATGCCTAAACCATTAATGCCTATCCAGCCAGCTCAGTGATAAATAGAAAGGAAGCATAGAAAAAGCAGGAAGTACAGATAAATTTGGCTTAGGGTAAAAATAAAATGCTAGATTTTTTTAAAAGGTGTCTCAATGTGCACATTTGGGTTAAAGATAGTTCTTTAAACGGTAGGATGATTGAACCCTCTAGGTTAAATCATGAATTCATTGCCTTCAAATTTGTAAAATGCACATTATCTGTCTTTCCATATCTAGTGTAAAATTGCGCCCCATTTCACTATCATTACTTAGCAAATGAGGATGCTATTAATTTTTGTTCCCTCTGACAAATAGATGAAGCTTGTATTTATGATTAATTTTACTTTGTGAGCAGTTTCTTTGAACATGGAGCCTGTAAAATAGATCAGATGTATATAGAATTGGCAGCGAATTGTACTGGCCAGATGAAAAACCTAAGTATTGATTTACTTTAATGAGTTCAAAAACTTATCCCTTCTCTGCCCCTTCCACAGATTTCCCTGCTGTGAACTGGGTCATTCAGCTTGACTGTCCAGAGGATGCGAATACTTACATACACAGAGTTGGGAGAACAGCAAGGTATATTTCTCAGTTACCACCGGTTAATTGTTGAACCTTTAAAACAAGATAGTAGTGAGTAGAAAAAACGGTCCAATTTTATATTGCGTTGGAACATCTTCTTTCAAACCTGTACTTTTCAGATACAGTGGTGCCTCGCTTAACGAGTGCACCGTTTAATGACGAATCCGCATAGCGACGTGTTTTTTGCGGATTTTGGACTCACATCATCTCTTTAGATTACAAATCCCATCATGTGTCCTGGAGGCATGCATACTGAATATTCTGGGATTTCTAACCCAACATGTTGGAGGGTGTCTGGTTGATAAAGCTTAAATTAAATGCAATGTCCTATTTCTTTTTATACTGGTATGCCTTGCATTATGTCCAATACGCTGGTGTGCACATAATGTCTCTAATGTTGGCCTAAGTTCAGTGTTAGGCTAGCAGAGGAAAACAGTGTGTCATTCCATGGATTTTTCAGTTGTCTAGTGACACATTTGTGTACTGGAAACAGCTGGATTCCTTCCTTGAATATTGACTAGAACTAGGTTTCTGTGAGTGTGACATCATGGGTGCTAGTGTAATGATGTAACTGGATAATGGCTAGAATATATTGGTAGCAATCTGGAGTATATTTTGTTTCGATTTTGAAACATTTATTCCATGCATACATTGGCCCTTAATAGGAACCCTGAGTCTTCCATCCTGAATATTGATCAGATTTTATGCTTGCATAGGTTCTGTAATGCTGCAATATCTATCTTCATATCATCCAGTGGTCCTTTTTTTTAGGTATCTCTTTGCATACAAATAGAATATTTGTCATTAAGTGTTATTGCAAATTTTATTGAAATAATTAGGTTTTGATCTGGGGAATATGTAAGATGCAAGCCATTTCTGATGCACTCTATGGGGGAATAGAGAATCTCATATTTAATTTATTGAGCTTTTAGTGTGTGTGAGAGCCGAGCAGAGTGACAGCAAGAAGTCTCTAGAGACTTAGAAAGCTAGGGTAAGGAGAGGTTTTTTTTAAAAAAAAGACATCCTTGCAGTATGTCTGAGATTTTCGTTGCTTTGTTTTTAAAGAGAATGTTTAATACAAACAAGAAGCTTCGCTATTTACTTGTCTATCTGCATCAAATAAAGTTTTGCTACTTGGGCGTTACACGTTAGATAGACATGGCCTGAGACTGTTCTAATGCATGAAATTTATTGATCATGTAATTCATTACTCATCTTATTGAAAGGGGCTCAGCAGAGACATATCAAAGAATCGCAGCTTCTTTTTTAAAATTATTTTTCAATGATGCTGTTGGTGGTGGTGACCAGTGCTTTAAATCAGTCATTAAAAGTCATTAGCAACTGAAAAAAAATCTATTATATTTTTCTATGTATCTGCTTGTGTTGCAAATAAATTACAAGTCTTTATTTATATTTTTGGTTCTGCTTTCAAACAAACCCCAGTGTTCAGTCTATAGGCATTATGCTTAAATCCAATTGTTAGTACCAACTAAAGTAGACACACTGAATCAATAGAGTTTACAGAAATGTTGAACATAACAGTCTCCTGTTCATTAAGTAGATTTATAGTAATCAGGACTAACAGTTGGATTTAGGTCTTAAAAGACAGTGGAAATTAGAGACCAAGGTAGAAATGTAAGCTTTAAAATACATTAAAATTAAACTAATTCTAAAATTTCATGGACTGTGAGAGTGTGTAACTGGAGGGAATGAAAGCTAAATTAAATACATATATTAATTAAGAATCTATGTGTTATCTGTAGTTAAAATTGGATGGACTACTGCCATTTTAAATCTGAAATCAAATGATCCATGTGGAAATTTGATTAAAATAGAAAGTAGAGAATAAGGAGTATTATGAGCATTTTGAGATTGAACAGTGTTGGTAATACACTTCTATGAAGAGAGGTTGCAACAAATGTTTTCAGATTTTATGGCCTTGACTGATTGCTTGATTCAGACATTGCACCTACAGATAGTTCACACTAAACATAGTTAAGAATCGCAACTATTGCTTTAGCTCCCGTAGTGTTAGATTTGGGTTAGGAACTGCACATCTGCTACTGTATCCCATTATCTTGGTCAGCTTCGAGAGTTCATTTGGGTATCTTAAGGTAGAGCAGCTCAGAGGCAGAGCAACGGCAAGATCTGTGCCTGAAGAAGTGGATTGCAAATAACAAAAGCTCACACTGCAATAAATATGATAGTCTGAAAGATGCCACAGTACTTTTTAAAGAAATGTTTTTGTGATAGTTGTTGTGGGTTTTTCGGGCTCTTCAGAACACGGCCAAAGAGCCCGAAAAGCCCACAACAACCATCAGATCCTGGCTGTGAAAGCCTTCAAGAATAAAATGTTTTTGTAGTTACTGAAATATAAAGGTGGGATAAAAATGTTTTAAAATAAATCTGAAAAATTTAAGGTGCATGCCCTATCTGTCAATCTGGACATCATCTAAACCAACTCCCAAATGTGGTTTTCAAAATTGTTAGACCACGACTTCTGATCCTAGTATGTTAGTCAATTGAAAATTATGATTTGATATCCTTAACTATGATTTGTTGTGACATTTGATTATATGTCTAGAGTGATTCCCAGTGTTCTTGTCTATAACCAAAACTCCTCACTAAAAAAAGCCACTAACTAAATTAGTTCGAAATGGCAGAATTGAAAATTTGTACTTTTCAAAAATGTATCCATGCTTGCTTTATCTTTCAAATTAACTCACTGACCTCAAAATTGGAGAAGCTGTCTCATAACTTCAGTAATTGTAGAATCATTTTGTCTTATCAAATGATAGCAAATGATGAGGTTAAATTATGACACTTTGAAGAAGTAGAGAATACCAGATATGGTTTAAAAATAAAATCCTGCAGAAAGGTTGCTGCTGGGTTCTTATAAATATTCAATCTTAGGGAACATTTTCTCTCCAGACAAGTTACCATTAACATTATGTTGACCTCTGTTTCAGTCAAGGAATAATAACCGTAGAAAAGTAGAACTGGAGCATCTTCATGAAAGAATATTGTTTAAAAATATAAACCATATAGGTTTTTTCAAATCTTAAGTTTGTTTTGCTCATGTGGGTCATTTTAGTCGATGAAGCCTATTTTGATTGTGTTTTATATAGTAGAGCAGAATGCCACTAGAGGACAGCAGTTGGTAGCATTCATGTTTTAAAGGCCATATTAAAATATTATTTCTAAAATTACCTTTATACTTTAAACATAATCCGTGTAAACCTCTGCATCTTTAGTGTAAATCTAAAATGCATTTCAGAGGAACAAACTAATATTTGTAAATTCACCTGTACTAAACTATATAGTGGGGTGTGTGTGTGCTTGTCCGCAAAGCATTTGAATGTTTTTCTTCAGTTTTACACAGAGTAAGATGAATTTTAGTCTCAGATGGAGTAGACCAATTGGGGTTTGAATAAGAGGTAGCCCATTATTTTTAGAATGTGAATGGGATACTTAAGTCGATTGTGATGTAATGTTGTTAAATGCTCTGCAGAGCCATAGTCAATTGTGTCCATATTTAAAAGTTGTGGACTGAGCTAGAATGTGCTGTTTGCTCAGTCATAGATATGTGACAGTAAATTTTGGTTCTTTGCTGTACCAGCAGTTTATGAAATGATGCTTGAAGTTATTTGATGAAAAGCAAAGTGTGCTGCTTATATACTGCCCCATAGTATTGTAGGCAGCTTACAATTCCATTCTGCAGGCTACACATTGACCCCTCTTCCACGCTAGCTGGGTACTCAGTTTACCGATTTTGGAAAAACGGAACACTGAGTCAACCTGAGCCTGCTACCTAAGCTGTCAGGATTGAATTCAGGTCATGAGCAGAGTCTTGACTGCAGTACTGCAGTTTAATCACTGTGTCATGAGGCTCCCTAATGGCACAATTAACACTGCTGTCACTATAGTGTAGGTGTATGCTTAAAATCACTAGAATAGTGGCCCTGGTGTAGATGGGAGTTGTAGTAGCAAGCAAACTTCATGAGGTTCCATCCTGCTTGCCTTGCAGAAGTTGGCATAATCAATGTTAGCATCATAAACCTCAGTTTGTGTGACAATGAATGGCAAGAGGGGATTAAGAGGGGTTTGGTATTATGAAAACAATTTCAGATTTCAGGAGGAACAGAGGGGAATTCTGAGCCAGACTAAGAGGGCCAACTGTTAGTAACATGTTCTAAAGAAAATTGGTGGTTTCTTTTTTATAACTTTTCTTTGTTGCTTTTGAAGCAAAAAGTGTCTACCTTCCAGTCTGAGCCATTTCAGGTGTCTTTGTCAGTACTCAGTCAGTGTGTGGAAACTGTGAACTTGACAGAAACAGAGCTGCTATTTGATATTTTTATATCCAACATTTGCTAAAAAAGAGAAAGAGCAGCGTAGAGATCCTTTATTCCTATGAGTATCTCCTCAACTAGGGTTAGGTTAAGAAAGAGTGATTGGTCACAGGGTCATCAACTGAACCTGATAGCCAAGTGGAGATCTGAACTGGGTTTCTCCAGTCCTAGTTGAACACAAATTATTCTGCCACTTTGACTTTCTTGGTATGTCTGTATTCTTAAATTGAGGAAATATTTTACCCAGGGAAGCATCCGAAAATACTGCCTTTCCCAATGATTTTTAAAGACCAGATTGATTTAAAGATCAGATTGATTAAAAAAACTCACAATTTTAAAAAATATTAATTTTCCAAAATTCTTATTTTTAAAATTTTAGTTGTGATTTTAATCATTATTTAAATCAGTTTGATTTAATCAAATCCACGCTGCCTTTTCCTATCTATAGTTTGAACTGATGCAAACCATTTTGTTGAACCTCAGGATTCTACTATCTCATTCTGCTGCATGTACAGGATAGATTTCAGATAGAAGGACACTGTATTTCTGTCAGTAAATTATAGGTAAAGGTTCCCCTTGACAAATGTCCAGTCGTGTCCAACTCTAGGAGGCGGTGCTCATCCCCATCTCCAAGTCATAGAGCCAGCGTTTCTCCGTAGACAGTTTCTGTGGTCACGTGGTCAGCACGACTAGACACGGAATGCCGTTACCTTCCCACCATGGTGGTACCTATTTTTCTACTCACATTTTACATGATTTCGAACTGCTAGGTTGGCAGGAGCTGGTACAAGCGACGGGAACTCACTCCGTTGCGCGGATTCGAACTGCTGATCTTGCAGCCCAGAGGCTTTGCGGTTTAACCTGCAGCACCACCACGTCCACCAGTAGAGTATACTTTGTGCCAAATGTTTAGATCTGTATGAGAACCATGAGGAGGTAAACTAAATGATCAGTTGATTAGTCTTACTAAGGGCCACAGTTAGATGTGCAGTTAAGTGCATCTCTGCACTTGATGTGCAGATTTTTAAAAATGCAAAGAGCATAAGGATGTCTGTGATCGTTATTGGGCTTTTAATTCTTTTGTTTGCTGCTGTAGTCTTGGATGGAAGTCTCCCTTTTGAAGTTGATACTTGTATTTAAAAAGAATAGCATCCTTGCACATTAATGCTTACTGGGTTAGCCCACAGAATGGCTGTTTGTATTTACCTATCCGGGTGAAAATCTCATTGTAAACATTATTCCTTTCTCCCACATATGTATTCTTTGCACAGGTACAAAGAAGGTGGAGAGGCTTTGCTTGTACTGGTCCCTTCAGAGGAGAATGGCATGATTCAGCAGCTGGAACAGAAGAAAGTTCCTGTCAACAAGATCAAGTAAATACTTTTGAACCTTTCACATAATAAAGTTGATTCCCCTTTTTCTTTCAGCTCTTCACCACTCAATGTCTCAACTCCTGGATGCATGATTACCCATTTGTTATGTTTATATCTTGCTTTTTTCCTGAGGGAGTTCAAGGCAGCATATGTAATTCTTCCCTGTAGCTGTGTTCATTTCCAACAATCTTGTGAGATAGTTTAAGTTGTGAGAGTGGTTTGCCCCAAATTGCACAGTATGAATGTGATAGTTGAATAAGGATCAATTCAGTCCTGCTGCAGCACTATGACAACTTTGCCACTCTTCTGGGAAGGCTGTAAATATAAACTACAACAGTTGAATATTGTTTTAACTGTGATGTCTCTGTTGCATGGAATTCTGAGATTTATTGTTTGGAGAGGTGCTTTGAATTCTCTGCTATGGTTCATGGGAATGAGCTAGGGCTCCCTAGTAGAAAATGTTAGGTACCTCAATAAACTACAGATCCCTGAATGTTATAGGATAGAGTTGTAGCATATGCTGTCGAAACTGCTGGTCTGTAGTAAGAAGTGAATTATATTCAAGGTTGCTGTGATCCTGAAGACCATGTCCATGGAGGAGGGTACCTGCTGCATCTCTTGCATAACTCAGCTGCTCTGACCCTTTCTGTTTCTTATCGTCGTTATCTATGGACTGAATATTTCCCCCTTTGCAGTATTAGGTGTGACTAGAGTGTTCTGGTGCTACCAGCATAGCAGAATTACTCACCCACAAAATGTTGTTTTGCTTTAAGCATTTTTGCTTTGGGCTTGTCTCATCCATTTAGGAAAAAGTCAGGAAGCTGCCATGTACAGAGTTAGACCACTGGTCCTTTTATCTCAGTGTTGTCTACACTGACTGTAACTGACTCTCCATGTTTCCTGGCCCTCCATAAGGGATTGAATCTAAAATCTTTGAATGGAAAATGTATTTCTGGAGGACTTGTCCAAGATCAACACAGCATTATCAGGGCATAGGTTGCTCTGAAGCTTCTTACTTTGCTCACTCTAAAGGATAAATATTTGGGGTGTAAGGGTAAAGCCGTGCCTAACTGGGAGCTGATCTATGAGATGATGACTGTCTTCTAAAAGAGGGCTGTAGGTGAGTTGTTTTGCCCGTTAAAAGTTAATTTTCATCCAGAAAGAGCCGTTTAGACAGAAGGAAGGAACTCCCTGATCTTGCTGCAACCAAGAGGAACCTCACCTACACGAACATTTTCTAAAGAATTTTGCCTCCACCTCCTCCTCTGTTTGGCGGGAGTGGATGTTTGTAAATGCAGGACTGAGTTCAAGGGCTGGGACAAAATGCCCCCTTGCCACAAGTATGCTTCTGGTTTCAATTGGGGACAAAAGGGTTTGCAAGATGTTTGGGAAATACTGCCCTAAATGTACAACTAGAGAGTGACAGAATTTAAATCTGAAACGGCAGTACCGCCATATTAAGTCTGAAGTATTAGCACTTTAGCCCTTTTCCTCTGAGGATGAATCGGTTGAGTGCGCTAGCAGTCTCCTTTCTTTTCTCGTGCATAATGACTACAATTTTATACCTTATCTAATTAGCATGTGGTGTCTAATATCTCAGTCACTCAATAGGTGCTGAAATTGGTCTGTATGCGCTGCTGAAGTAGCTGGTGGCTTCCAGTAATGCTGTTTACAATACTGTTTCAAATCATGGGTGGTAAAGTGAGGATGCACTAAGCTTGCAAATCCTTGTAAATGGTCCTTTTCTCCCCCTTAAAGGGATATAATGGCTTGCAGAGGTCGTTTAAATAGCAGCTTCATGGCTTATTGTAGAAAAGAGCTCATTTTTGTAGTGGATCTAATGAGCCACAGCAAGCTGTTTCTGCACCTCGAAGTAGCACATCCAAATCTTCAGTTAGAGCTATTTTACTGCATTCACTATTTTGCCCTTTCCATTGCTCAAGATTGAAAAACGGCTAGTAGGGTTTGGAATTTGGGCAAGTTTAGTATTTTGTTGGTTGTAGTAAACAAAAATCCTTCAAAAATGTTCTTGTATCGAGATTAGGGCACGAGACAAAGATACCGTATTTTTCCGTGTATAAGACTACACTTTTGTCTAAAATCTTTAGATTAAAAATTGAAGGTCGTCTTATACACAGACGTAAGCTGAGGAGAGAACAAACACAAGTGGAGGGGAAAGCAGGGATCAAACAATACTGCAGCGCTTTGATCCCTTTCCCCCTACGCTTGCTAAGCCCCACTTAGATTTCTTAATTTTGGATTAGAAAAGTAGGGGGTGTCTTATACATGGGGGCATCTTATACACGGAAAAGAGTTTGTTGCCTTTTTCTGACACCTCAAATTAGCTTCTTCGTGCTGCCTAAGGATGGGGCTGAACTTGCAGGCTTGCGGTGTATAAAGTAGTGTTGGTGGGCAAATGTCAGCTAGTCTAGGAGAACACAATTCTAGGAGGCTGATAGCTGATTGAAATCCTGTTCCTTAATGTAGTTAATTGCAACTAAGGTAGGGCCCATTGAATCAGTGGGAATTTGATGAATCAACTCTGTAAGTTCCACTGTTTCAATAGACCTCCTCTAGTTGCACCTTACTATGTTAAGCAGCAGGATTTAATCCTGTGACTTCTTATTAGATGACTTATCCAGAGCATATAAGGTAATTAAATGTTCCTCTCCTTCTTTCTTTCTGATACTTTTTTCAAATACTGAAAAGGATTTGCTATGCTGCCTAAGGATGGGGCTGAACTTGCAGGCTGATCAATGATGTTTCCTCTTCTGTAGGTTACCCGTACATATTTCTTTGAAAAGCTCATAGGATTCACATTGCAGCTTTTGTGTGGCCTTGGACCCTCTCTTCTGAATCTCTCCCAGGTTGCTGATATTGTTTGGAGATACTGAATGCCCAGAACTCAGAGCAGCATTCCAAGCCTAAGGATGGGGCTGAACTTGCAGGCTGATCAATGATGTTTCCTCTTCTGTAGGTTACCCGTACATATTTCTTTGAAAAGCTCATAGGATTCACATTGCAGCTTTTGTGTGGCCTTGGACCCTCTCTTCTGAATCTCTCCCAGGTTGCTGATATTGTTTGGAGATACTGAATGCCCAGAACTCAGAGCAGCATTCCAATTGGGTTATGTGAATGAGTGAATAGAATGGTATTATGACTTCCCAGGCCTTAGCAACTATAATTCAAATGATAAAATCTAAAAATGGTGTTGGCTATTCCAGATAGAACATCACATTATTGATTTTTTTCTTGGTTTGTTTATACATGGAACCTTCTGAATAGGCTAGCCAATAATCTCTCCTCTTCTCTCTGTGTGTGTGTCTTTGCTCCTTTTGCTTGCATTCATTAAATTTAACCTTGTTCAGTTTTATTGTGGTTTGGCTTTCTCCCAGTTCTCCAGCTGAAAACATACTCCAGTAAATAACAGAGCTGCCCAAAGCAGAACTCTTGATTTATATAGAAATCTGTGCCTGAAGAGAGAGATCTGTCTCGAGTTTAGTTTTCTGATTTCCATAAAGAGAGAGATCTGTCTTGAGTTTAGTTTTCTGATTTCCATGTCTCAACAGACTGCTTCTGTTTCTTCTAACTTAATTACACATGCACTCTGTGCTTTTGCCAAGGAGCTCATGAGGGGAGGGTTACAGATAGGTCTACAAATGGCCCACATTCAAGCAGCTGTCAGAGACAAAGTTTGGGGACAAAATGAAGCTGGAAGCCAGGTTCCAGCTTATGTTCAAAGAGGTTCAACGTAGTCAGAAGCCAGCTGGTGGTCAAATTCTGACTGTGGTAGATTAGGAAGGCAAAGCCAACTGAAGGCAAGAGAGTCTGCAAAAGTATCTACACTGTATTGCTATAGTAGTTTGATATGGTGTGGTGCTTTCATACAGAATCCCAAAATGTGGTGTGTGTGTGTGTGAGAGAGAGAGATGTGGAAGTTAAAGCAATATCCAGCTTGAATATCCATATAGTATAAATGCACTCGGTATGGATATTTAGTATTATTACTTGTCCAGAATGAGGTGTGGACTAGAGGTTTTGACGAGTTTAGTTTTCTGATTTCCATGTCTCAATAGACTGCTTCTGTTTCTTCTAACTTAATTACACATGCACTCTGTGCTTTTGCCAAGGAGCTCATGAGGGGAGGGTTACAGATAGGTCTACAAATGGCCCACATTCAAGCAGCTGTCAGAGACAAAGTTTGGGGACAAAATGAAGCTGGAAGCCAGGTTCCAGCTTATGTTCAAAGAGGTTCAACGTAGTCAGAAGCCAGCTGGTGGTCAAATTCTGACTGTGGTAGATTAGGAAGGCAAAGCCAACTGAAGGCAAGAGAGTCTGCAAAAGTATCTACACTGTATTGCTATAGTAGTTTGATATGGTGTGGTGCTTTCATACAGAATCCCAAAATGTGGTGTGTGTGTGTGTGAGAGAGAGAGATGTGGAAGTTAAAGCAATATCCAGCTTGAATATCCATATAGTATAAATGCACTCGGTATGGATATTTAGTATATGACTCATCCAGACTGAGGTGTGGACTAGAAATTATGAGGCCTAGTATGTCCATTTAATCGTTAAGCGAGGCACCACTGTATGTCCGTTCTGGTCTGTGGCATCAGCTGGCTGTATTAAGGCTAGAATTGCAACCTATGGCATCAGCTGGCTGTATTAAGGCTAGAACTGCAACCTAGAAAGGTTCCTTGAGCCTGAAAGCCTTCACTGTCTGGTTTACTGAAAGTCCTCTGTGGCTGCAGGGAGGTAAAGGGGCAGAAGTCTGGGTGTCTGAAGTCCTTTGGGCTAGATCTCTTAAGTTGCTTCCAACTCATCCTCTTCCTGAATAGTTTGAGGTGACTTCTTTTTGCATTGATTAAGGGAATGCCAGATAGCAATTCTGTGTACAATAGGCAGTGCATTGCTGTCACTAAGACCCTTACATTTCACTATGAGTGCTAAAAAAATCAAGAACAGCTATGGGAAAAAAAGACTGCTTATAAAGCTATGAGAAGACATTTTGCTGTTGACACAGCTGTATCATAGGTCTATCTTATAATCTTGTGGTGGCAAGCATCACTCTCCATATCTCTGGGCTGTTGATGGATTTATATTCTGTTTTGCTAAAATCCAGTGTATTCTACCAATTGGCCAATTCATAGGTCCATCAATTTGTCCCAGACTGTGGAATTTTCCAAGAAGAATCTTGTTTAAATGTTAATATATGTGGCTATACCTAAGTATGCCTTATATCAGAGCTAAGTGTGAGCTTAGCCTTTTTATTGCAACCATACATACTACCCATGCTCCCCAGAGCCATATATATATATATATTCGGAGGAAATAATTTTTGTTTTCTGCTCCTGGAGGTTTCCATGAGCCATAGGCTTTACAGAGGGTATGTTGGTGGCATTCTCTCTGTTAACAAGATGTTGAAGTCCAGTTATCTGTGGTTTTGATTTTTTTTTTTTAAATTTAAGCACATTTTATGACATTTCAGGGCATGATGCTGGAGGCAAAAATTTGGCCTTCAAGCCTGCCTACATTGCCCACTTACAGTTTTCACAGGAGAGATACATCATCAGTGTGAAGGACTGTTGCTGTATATTTTTCCCCCCTTGTCAGTGTGAGCTCAGTTTCCCACCTTTTATAAGCTCAAGAAGCAGTTGAATGTTAATTGTGTAATTTTACTTAGGAAAATGGTTGTCTCTTCCAGCCTAAATTGTACTCTGGATAAAAGGGCCCGGCTTCGTTTTTCTTTGCTTGCATTATTCATTTCAGGAGAACGGGCTCTATGCCTGACATAATTTCAGCTGAAATCTTATTCAGAAGGACAGTAGCTTTTATTCCTTTTAGAACAATATAAGGGGGAAATAATGCAAAAGAGCAGGTGGGAATCTACATAGGGCTTTGTACTCTTTTAGGAGAAAACTGAAATAAATATATATGATTGGTTTTGTTCCCTCTTTTTCCATTCTCCTAGAATCAACCCTGAGAAGCTCGTAGACATTCAGAAGAAGATGCAGTCTTTCTTGGCTCAGGATCAAGAGCTGAAAGAGAGAGCCCAGCGGGTAAGTTGTCTAAAGCAGGAGCTCTGACTCAGTAGTAAAGCAGCTGATTTGCATGCAGAACTTTGCACACACAGTCTCTGACACTTTCAGCCATGGCTAGAAAAATGGTTTCCTTGCACTGGGAGCCTCTGCCAGGCTGTGTTGACAGTACTGGACTTGATGGATCAATGGTGTAAGGCAGTGCTGGCTCCGGAATGTGATATATAGATGCACATATTTATACAGTGGTGCCTCGCTCAACGAGCGCACCGTAGAACAACAAAATCGCATAGCAATGAGGTATTTGCGATTGCAAATGCGATCGCATACCGATGGCCCCTATGGGCAAAATTCGCTTTGCGATGATCGGTAAGCGTTTCGCTTACCGATCTTCACAAAGGGATGCCCGCGGAGCAGCTGTTTGGTGGCTCCAAAATGGCCGCCGGATGCCCCAAAATGGCTGCGCGCAGCGTTTTCGCGCCCTGCCCTCGCTTACCGAGGGTGCGAAAATGGCTGCCGGACCCTGGAAACATCGCTGAACGGTGAGTTTTTTTGCCCATTTGGAACGCACTAAACGATGTTTAATGCGTTCCAATGGGCTTCCCCGTTCCGTACAGCGATGTTTTCACATAGCGAGGGTTAATCCGGAACGGATTAACCTCGCTATGCGAGGCACCACTGTATATGAGATTTTCATAGAGAAGATACTGTATGCACATATTTATATATGAAGTTTTCCTAGTCTGTTTCAGCTGCAACAGAAAGATAATGCTGTGGCAATTTTAAGACCGACAAATTGATCTCAGTGGGGAAAATCCTGTTGCATAAGTTTATACCACCTTTCCCTGGGTCAGTCATCGGAAATATTTAATCTAAACTAATGGAAAGCACAAGCAGATGGTGGGGTTTCTTTATGGAAGTGAGTACTTATGCAAAAGCCCATTTGTTTAAGTGGCATGGTTGGATATTACTATACTGAGAAACCTTTCCACTCAGCAGAAGCTGAAGAGAATATTGACCACAGGGGAAGTTGCAGTCCTCTTAATTATAGTCACTCCGTAATTATTTTTCTGTTCTTGTGGCTGTAATGATCTCTTCTTCCCACATTGCCATGTTTCATAGCTGTCAGTGGTCATTAGTCATGATTGTGGATAGATAGATAGTTCTTCCAGTAATCCTCTGTATACTGGTTTCTGGTGGATGTGAGTGTGAGAAGGAGGTTGCTGTTACACATATACTTCTAGGCTTCCTGTAGGCATCTGGTTGGACACTGTGCTGAACAGAGTGCTGGACTGGATGGGCCTTTGGTTTAATCTAGGAGCTCTCTTGTGTTTACTTGCGGCTGCCGTCTCTTGCAGTAAAACCATAATATGTATTCAGCACAGGTATAATGGAGCCATGGCTTACACAGGGTCGAAGGTCTAGTAGTTTTTTGACATGAGATTTTTGCTTATCAGCAAGGACAATTTTTTATTTTTATTTATTTATTTATTTTATTTATACCCCACCTATCTGGTCATTTTGACCACTCTAGGCGGCAATGATGGCATCTGCCTTCCCAGCTGTTTCTGAGCATAGTTGCATCTGTCTTGGTGTCCCTAGAGTCTTGAATTTTGGCAGGAACTACCATAGTGATGCATCCCATAGTGATGGAGAACCACACTCCTGTTTCAGTGGATTAGCAGCTGCTCCTTCTGGTGATTGCTGTTTGGATTGGATTTTTACCTTTTTTTATAACATGGCAAAGTCATTGTGAAACAGTGTCTGCCTATCATCATCTATTGATAAATATTTTTGTTCTGAATGTTCTTTCCCATATGATGAGAGAGGAAATTGTCTATATAGGATAGATAATTGTGTTATATAGAATATGGTATATCTCAAGGGCACATTATAAAGGAAATTGAAACTACTATAATATAGTAGATGGAACATCAGATTTGTAGTGGGAAGACCTGTGGTCAAATTGCTATTTAGTCAGTGATGCTGAATGGCTTCCTCTGTTTTTCGACCTAATCTATGCCAGAGGATTGTTGTGACAATATACTTTGAATAATCCCTACATATATCACTTTGCACTTTTTGGAGAAAGGGTGGAACAAAAATAGGACTTTGAGAAAAGGTTCAAAAATTATATAACACCCCTTCAAATCAGGGTGACCCTGATGGAGGTAAAACCACCTCTTTGAACCACATGCTTCCTGTCGGCCAGTGGTCCCCAACCTTAGGCCTCCAGATGTTCTTGGACTACAACTCCCAGAAGCCTTCACCACCACCTCTGCTGGCCAGGATTTCAGGGAGTTGAAGTCCAAGGGCATCTGGAGGCCCAAGGTTGGGGACCACTGCTGTAGGCCACATAATGCTAAATTCCTGTTCTAGTGCCTTAAATGTGTGGCTGGTGGAGTTCCGTAGCCTGCCCCTGAGGTGGCCTTGGGCAAGGTGCCTGATTCCAGAGTGCCCCCATCCGGAGTAGCTATGGTAATAAACCACTTCTGGGTACTTCATACCTAGAAAACACTGGGATAGTACTTTATGGTGTGTGTGTGTGTTTAGTCGTTTAGTCGTGTCCGACTCTTCGTGACCCCATGGACCAGAGCACGCCAGGCCCTCCTGTCTTCTACTGCCTCCCGGAGTTGTGTCAGGTTCATGTTGGTTGCTTCGCAGACACTGTCCAGCCATCTCATCCTCGGTCGTCCCCTTCTCCTCCTGCCCTCACACTTTCCCAACATCAAGGTTTTTTCCAAGGACTCTTTTCTTCTCATGAGATGGCCAAAGTACTGGAGCCTCAGCTTCAGGATCTGTCCTTCCAGTGAGCACTCAGGGTTGATTTCCTTTAGAATTGATAGGTTTGTTCTCCTTGCAGTCCAGGGGACTCTCAAGAGTCTCCTCCAGCACCACAATTCAAAGGCATCAATTCTTCGGCGGTCTGCTTTCTTTATGGTCCAGCTCTCACTTCCATACATCATGACAGGAAAAACCTTCCATACATCACGACAGGAAAAACTTTATGGTACTTTTAATTATTTTGTTTTTATAACACATTTCCTCTGGGCAGTTAGGAGACCATATGTGGTCCCTATCCATTTTTTTTCTTATTCTCCACAATGGTGCTGTGATGTGGGAGGTCTGAGATACTGTTCTGGGCAGAATTTGCCCAACAAATTCTGTGGGTGAAAGGGAATTTGATATTAGCCTAGTATTCTTAATTAGTTCACTCCACTGGCTGTGTCTAAAGATGATACAGCTTGTCCTGAGGTCAAGTGCTAGAGCAATGCAGACTTTCAGAGACATAAAATGAGCAGCTTCTTCTTGCCAGTCAAAACAACAAAACAAAACAAAAAGCTTAGGATAATGATGCTACAGAAAAAATAATCGCTGTCAGGACAGTTTACATATCTAAAATATTAATACAATAGAGGATAGTTTTGTCTGTGTGTCAAGTGCCAGATTGCTCACTGGATTGAAAGCCCTCTGTTTATGGCCTTATTATGATTTAATAAGGGTAACAGGTGGTTCCTTTACAAGGTACCCTATGACTTTCTGTTCCAGTGACTGCCTTGCATTAATACATCTTACAGTTAGTTGAATTTTTGCAAGCTCTGTTGAACTTACTGAGGATTGTGGAGCTGCTGCAGGAAGAATGGTAGAAGAAGGTAATAGAATGGATTATGTTGGCCTGTAGTAAAATGGAATGAACTTCCCCTTTTCCCCGTCACATTTTCTAATGACTTTTTTTCCTCCAATGGGTTTGTAAAAAACACGCTTTAAAGAGAAAGATAAAATTTAATTGAGTTGAGTGAAATAATCTTGGAGTTTCAGGATAGTGATGGAATGAGTTCAAACAAAGGCTTTTGCCACATCTGACAGATCTAGTGATGAACCTGCCATGTAAATCAAAATTTTATAGTTATATTTAAAACCTTTTTATGACCACATAGTGCCATTTTGAAATTCCAATCTATTCTTCTCTTCTGTTGAGTAAGGTTTCTGGTCAGCTTCAAAATGCTTATACAGTGGTGCGCCTCAAGACAATTTTATTTCGTTCTGCGAAAATCGTCGTCTTGTGAAAAAATCATTTTGTGAGGTTCCCTATGCATCGGTCTCAAAAAAAAAGTCTTGCAAAGCATCGGTCTAAAAAAAAGTCTTGTGAAGCACAGTCATAGAAAAAAAGTCTTGCAAGGCACCACAGTGATTGCAAAAACCAATTGTCTTCCGGGTTTTTCGTCCCACGAGGCAATCACCTAGCGAGGCACCACTGTATTACAGAGGTCAGTTGGTGGATGAGATTGGTTACATACCTTTAGAGCCTAGATGATGCTTAGCTTTTATTTGTTTAATGGCTTCTTTTCTTACTTAGCTATAAGGAAGCAAATAATATATCCAACCTTATTCCCCTTCTTCTCCCAAGCTCCTCCTTCTTAGAAATATATTTAAGTCACTGGGTAGCCCAGTCTGCATTCCTGCTAAGTTAGGTTCAAAACAGATGTTGGTTAGGGTTAGGAGTAGAGCCAATCCCTCCACTTGAGAAAGCAGGGCCAAAGCAAGACTTTCTGTTCTGGCTGGGGAAAGAGAAATCGTGGTCTTACTTCTCTGCTCTGGTCTTCCTTTGCCTTGATCCTCCTAAGCAAGCCCAGCAGCTGTCATTTATGGGCCATGCAGTTTTGAACCGAAACCATTTTCTGCTATCATCTTCTATTACCCCCTCCTTCTCTATTGTAGTTTAACTGAAATTCGTCTGGTTCTTGCAAGGCAGACGTTCAAAACAGATGTTGGTTACTTCCTGTTCCAGAAGGCTTTTAATTGAAATAACATCAACTGTGGATCTTGATGGCAATTTTAATTGTATTTTAATCATTTTATCTTTTATTGTATTTTAATTGAATTTTAATTGTTGTAAGCCGCCCAGAGACCTCTGGGTAGAGTGGGCGGCGTATAAGTTAAACAAACAAACAAACAAACAAACAAACAAACTAACTAACTAACTAACTAACTAACTAACTTAGTTTGGGCGCGGTTAGTGA